ATACCCCTATAAAGGAAATAGCAATACTACCTTGCTTCAGAATGTAATTTCATAAGCATTTATTTTGCTGATGGATGAGGAAGTTGTTTTCTCTCACTTCCATGGACATTTGCCCCTTAATTTGTGCTGTTTCTAGAGGTCTGCAGCAAGAGAGATTTCCTTATTCTGTGTCTGTGCAGGTATCTGTATTGGCATGAAGAAGGGGGTGGCTGTTTCTGGGAGCCAGCAGGTAGTAAAAGGAGGGCAACAGTATTGTTTAAACGTGTCTAAGCAGAAATGTGTTGTGAAGACAAACCATTGAATGTTTGAGAAGCACCAATATACATGATGATGTGTATAACCTTGTAAATAAACCTGAAGAAATCACTGCTTTCCTTTGGAGCAAAGTATGAACATTGCACAGTAAATAATGCATCACACCACACATGGAGAAAGGATGTGAAAAATAAGTATTTGAAGAGACGTTCATTAAGTGTGCACCACCTCTCTAGCTCACTGCATGAGGCAGATGTTCCCTTGAAGTGGTCTGTAATTAAAAACTACATCAGTAACACAGATGAAGGAGAGGCTTGTCTGCCTCATAATTTCTCACCTTTGGAACATTAATGGCATCCTTTGAATATCAGTGTGTCTCTCCCAGTTCCGCCTTAATTAAGTTTCCTGTGAAACTTAATCCAGTGTCAAAGTGTTTCAAGTATTGTTTTCAACAAGGAACAAGTATTTTAGAAAATGTCATTTTAGGAATTAAAAATTTATTTTTTTCATAGCCTTTTTTAACTGAGAGATGATTAAGGAATTCAGAGGGGGAAAAATCATTTGCTCTTATGTACCTGTAAAATTCCAATTCACCTATACTTTCTCTTTAATGATATTAAGGGAGGCTATGAGAAGAGGAACCAGTTAGCATTTTTTAAATATGTTCTAACTAAGAGAACACAAAATTTAGTTTTTAAATATAAAACTTCTGTTTTTCGATGCATACAGAATAGGTGACTGCATAGTGAAGGATTGTGTGAAAATGTTTGCTTTGGAGGAATCTGGACTGATCCACATTCTACTGTGAATTCCAGCATCAAGATTTGAATGCAAATTATTTTATTTTTCTCCTTGGACAGTTTGACATGCTACAGATGTGTATGTCTATTTTTGTTACCTTTTTGTAATACTTTTAACTCTTGCTTTTCTTTCCTTGTGCATCCACCCCAGATCGCATTCAATTGGGTAAGACACATTACTCTCCTTGAATAATGCTTTTGTATTTGACAGGATTTGTTTTATGGGCTGTAATGCAGTTACCTCTTTCCTTTCAGCATCATTAAACTGTTATGTTTCATTTTTACAGCATGATAAGTGTAACAAGAAATGTGGACTAAGTGTTTGCCTTGAGTTAGTCTTAAATTCAAGCAATGGACACATTCAAAAGACATTGGTCTTGGGAAAACCTGCTTTTATAGAATCTCACTCTTTCAACCATATTCTTTCTTTCAGAGGTTTGGATATGAGCAACAAGGAGTAAAAATTCTATTTAGCTGAGTTTTGTAAAAGATTATATGAAGTATTTAATTTCCTCATCTTCAATAGAGGAAAAGTATCTTAGTCATGATTCTATAAAAGTCTTGAGTCCTGCAGAAATTTCCAAGTTTTGAAGATGATAAAATAAGTCTTTATAATTAGATTTTGACTTTATTGATTCTGTAAAGCACTTGAATATATGATGAAAAAAAATGAAAACAATTTTATATGTTCTCAAAGATTCTATAAGCAGTCTGGCTTTATGTCAGTTCCCCCTGAAGAGAGGCTGAACAGCCCTGAATGCCTTGCCAGTCCCTCTGGCCGTGTAGTATCTTCACTGAAAAGCTCAAGAGCATTTTTTTCCATTCTGCTTAGTTATCCTAACAAGGACTCTAATTCATTGAGTAAACTTCAAAGTACAGCATAGACTGAACTTCTAAATTCACTCTGACATGAAACTAAAATGTAATATTTACTGACCTCTGTCGTAGGATCCCTGTTCTCTGCAATGATCACTATCACGGTCATGCATGTCTTTAAAAAATGATTAATATTTTAGGCTTGTACTAAAAGAAGATTTTGCACTGCTTCTATAACTTGCAATATTACCTCTTTAGAGAAATTAAAATATGAACTCAAAAAAATAAGCATTTAATATTTTGATTGTCTGTCATGTGCCATCTCTTAGATATGTGAATTTAATCTTCTGATTTAAACCTTTATATTTGGAATGTTTTGCTATTAAAAGAGGAGCAGTCTATGCTGAAATACTTCCAAACTCTATTTTTGTCTATTTGTTGTAGGTTGCAAAACTAAAATGGCAAGGATGCTTGCTTAATTTAATGAGGACTAAAGATTTGCTTAAAGATTTGCTGCAGTTGTGAAATGTTAGGGCTAATCTCTCATAAGTCTTAAAAATTGTGTGAAAAATTGAACATGGATCATTAGCATTGTCTGCTGTCAGTCCTTGTCTATCTGATCTTAGCAGAAGTCTTAAAATATATAAAACAGCAAACAGTTTGTATTATATCTCACTATTCCACACGCTTGCCAAATAGCTTTTCCCTCCCTTCCCCACCCCCATTTCTGAATCTCTAATCTGGAAAAACAAATCTGTATATAGACTCAGTGCTGCTCTGATTTTGTATAGTTTATAACAAACACGTGTGCTGTTTGTATGAGAGATTTCATTTTTTAATGCTATAATCATGCTTTGCCCGCAGGCAAACAAATCAAGTTGGTGATGCTTACAGTAAAGCTCTCACTGTTCCCAGTCAGACCAGGCTGCAGCTGTCAGTCAATACTGAAAGTAGCAATGCAGGGATTTTTGGAGAAAGACGCCTTACTTAAAGTGCTCAGATCTAAATGTGCTTATGGAAAGTTCTTACGCTTCAAATAAAGATTCCTATTTGGACCAGGCATGATGCTTCCCAGCAGCAGGGAACAGGTGATGCTGTGAAAACAGTCGGTGTCTCAGGTGGGAGAATTTGGCTCATGTAAGTCAAGCAGTCAGTGTGGGTGGCATCTGGAGGTCTAAAGGTGTGCAGCATGATTTGGGGATCTTTGAGTAATGCAGAGGCACTATCCTCTGCTTACAACCTTCCAATACTCCTGCTTCTGGGAAGTCTCAGGAGGGAAGTGTCACAAAGAAAGCTGGATGAGAGCTGTGGAAAATAGCTCTGTACCTTTGGTAAAGTTGAGGAGTGAAGGGGGAAGTGAAATGTCCTGGAGGGGTGCAGATATGTGAGAATGCTGCCTCTATGGTTGAAGAAACCTCTTGTTTAGGTAAACAGCTGTGCAAGAGCCTTTTGAGATTGAGAGTCAGCTGAACCAGCTCAGCTGATGTGCACAAACCTGGGGTGTATCCCTCCTGCCCAACACAGAGCTCGTCCTCTGTCACTGTGGGACATGGAGGTGGCTCTATGTGCCCCTCTTGTGTGTCTCTGTAGATAGCCAGGGTCTGCAGCATTTAAATGGATTCTGCCAGGAGCTGTTTTGCATCATTCTTTTGAGCCCCATTGCTGGTCAGTTGACATGAGAATGTGGCTTTAAGATCTTTAGTGCTGAGAGTTTGACAAGCCCTTGCCATCAGAAGGGGACTATGTGTATATGTACATTTATAGCTAAATTTAAAAAATACATTATAATCATATTGGAAATCAGATTTTACAGCTTTTTTTTCTTATGTTTTGCTTTCATCCCACAGCTATTCTATTCGCCATTCCATAAGCATGCCTGCAATGAGGTAATGTGCTACCCACATTCTATTCGCTATGGAGATGTTCAACAGAGTAATGAGGGGGGATTTGCATACTTTGATCCTGATCCTGCAGTTTTTAGTTGGATGAGAAGTCTCACTTCAATCAATTAAGGTTATTCATGTAGATGAGGGCTGCAGGACAGGCGAGCTGCGGTTTCAGGGTTTATTTTCATTTTAATTGTATTAACTGCTTAATCTCTTGTACAAGCCTTTGAGTAAATGAAGCAGTTCTGAGAGGTATTTGGGTTGCTGACTGTTATCAGGTTTGTATTACTGAATCTGAAATTCAGTTGTTTTGCTGTCTCTAGAACATCATCCAAAGCCCATTAATGTCAGAGATGCTTTCCACTCCAACAGGCTTTGGACCATGCTCCTGTAGAGGGATTTTACATGAGTGCTTTCATATTTTAATGGCTATAATCACACTTTACTTGACTGCAGCCAAATATTGACGTCTGTTCAAGTAAAGCTCTGACTGTTTTCAATAAAATTAGTATCCAGCTTTCTTTTTACTCCCTTGGCCTCTAAATACATGACTGTCCCCACTCTGTGCCAAGCATGCATGAAAAACAAACGACTAAATGATGGATACTAATTCATTCAACTTCAGCAGGTGGGTAGTTTAAGGCAAGAATTCACCAATGTGACCTACGGGATCAAATATATGTTATAAAACTCAGTTTCTCCTTTGATCCTTTTTACCCTATGAAAAAATCTGTCATCTAAATAACAGAAACTAAATTTGCATTATTTTTTCAACTGGCTTCTGTTTGCCCTTCTCCCCTTAAATTGGAGTCATTTTAACTCGGCCTGATGGGGGATATGATATAAATGTATTTGCAGAATGAGGAACTGTGCTGGACAACAGTGCCTGAGCTTCAGAGTATTCACTAATAATGAAGCATAATGTATGCTTTAAATGAGCTGTCAGGTGCCAAGCAAGGAGCAGAGAAGAAGATCCCCTTCACCCACTGTAGACTTGTCCAAGTCTCCATTGTGTTGAGTGAACACAGAGAAAAGCTTAGCTTAATCAGAGTGGCACCTTAGGAACACAGTCTCTCTGAAGTCTTTGTCTTTGAAAGCAGCAGTCACAAAATCACAGGAAAAGGACGGTGGGATAGGATTTCTCAAAGACATTTGGGACCCACTTCCCATGTGGTTCTCATCTCCTTCTTCCCAACCTTAGGACATTAAACTTGCCATCTTTTTAATAATGTAGGTTACGAACTTGTTCAGAAAGTGAAAAAAATGTTTATTTCTTTACAGCAACAATACAAATGGATAAAGCCATAGAAAAGCAGCATTACAGGCAGCATTGTCTGGTTGTTCTTCTGAGAACGTGACAAATGTATCATAGAGTAGGCAGGCCAGTTATAATTTGGTTTCAATTACTAGGCAGGTTCTACTTTTGAAAATTTGTAGCTAAAAAGTACTCATCCGATTACCATAATTGGATTTGACTGACAGAGCACAAGTGAGTGTTCATAGCCTTGTGCTGCCAGCCAGCCTTCATTCTGTGCTGGCAGTGTTGCTTGGTAAGGACTACTCAAATTGTGGAATTATCCCATGATGTTGGCAACTCACTCTTTTTCTTCCCTTCAACTATTTTTTTCTCCTAGGAATTCTCCAACTTTCAAATCCTTTGAGGAGAAGGTTGAAACCACTGTCACAAGCCTTAAGGTAAAGGTTAGGGGCAGAGTTCACATGCCTGTGTGTGTTAAAGTGTGACTGCTTAGTTGTCTTTACCATTTCTACAGGAGACTGATTTGATTTGTTGTTCCATCAAGAATTTCATTGAGCACTTATGGAAAATGAAGGCAATATGCAAAAAAATTGTTTTCCTTTGCTTTGTTGCTAAGAAATTATTTCTGATGCCTGCCAAAGTAAGCAAATGGTCTCAGAAATGCCAAAAATAGTGGTGGTAAGGAGTCTCTGTTCCCTCATCTCAATGTGTCATTCAGAAATAGAAAAAGGTAATTCAAACTGCACAGCTCTGAAGACCATTTCCGCTCACAGTGATCTGCTTGAGAAGCCTGATCTTATTTTGTTGATTAAGCAAAGGTGTTCTAGAGGAGAGTATTTGTCATGCCAGCTCAGCATGTTGTGTTCAGTGCACTCTTAGATCATCCTTTAAGAAATCTGTAATTAAGCAGGACAATACAGTAAGTTCTGAGTCTGAAATAATCCTCCATATCTCATGAAATATTTATTGTCTGTCTTTATTGACAAACTTACTGACATTTCTCAAAATATTTTCTTTCTGTATTCTCTTTCTTTCTTTCTTTCATTTCTTTATGCAAATTTCTTCCTTTCCTTTATGGGGAAAGGAAGCTGGAGTCATAGATCTAGGGTGCCACTAGGGTAGACTGCAGACAAATGGGAATGTTTCAGCATTGCTCCTCCTTTTTCCCACCTGTGTTCCAAGGCTTGCAAGATTAGGAAGACAGGGAATGGGGGGAGAAATCATGGAGTTACCCTTCAATTCTAGGGTTTTGTTGTGGTCTCAAAAATGGAGAGCTATCCAGTGAGACCCCTGAAAAAAGAACAGCAGTAGTCTTACCATCTTTCCAATCCCTGTATCGGCTACAAATCTTCAGTGATCCTAGTGTTCTGCAGTTTGCCAGAACTGATGATCAGGTTTCATAACATTTAGAAGCCAAATTTTAAATTAGATTTTATTTGCTCTTGGAGTCTGGACTTTGGGTTGCAGCTTTCTCAGGAGAGTATACTAGTTCATTTTCCCCTGGAAATCAAAGAGGACCAGGGTGCCTCATTCTTCTCAACTTTTCTGAAAATCTGAACTCTGATAAATTACATGTTTTATTGGACTTTCAAGCTAGGTAAGCTGCTGTGCTAGCTAAAGAAACAGGATTACATAGGATTAACCCTTTGGAAACTTAGAACACAAGGTTCATTTAATTAAAATAATCTTCCTAAGTATTCAGTGGCTGAGAAGTTGAAAAATATCAGGTTGTCTTTGAGTTCTGCTGCAATTCTAGGGTGGAGTAAAAGGTTTTGTCTTATTTTGAGACTTGAATCAACTTGGAGCAGGCATATCAGCAAGCAAAGCCACAAAAAAAGAATGTTCTCTTACCAAGACAACCTAGTCAAAACAGCATTGTCTCTTCATCACTTAGTCTTGATAATTTCCAAATCTTTAGGCACAGCTCTTTGTTAGGAAACTTCTTTTTCAGAGATTTAGTCTTACTGATTTTTATTTTTAATACTTACTACAAATTCAGTGACCTGAAGCATTATGGAAGTAGATGTGCAAGCACATTGGATATGTTTGATTAATGTATTTTGCTATCTCTTCCCTGCCTTCCCCCATGAAAATGCCACTGGCAGTTTTATATTCCAATATCTTGGCAGCTACAAGTGCCTGAAGGGGATTCAGGTCCTTTGGTTACTACATTCCTTCTGCTGTCCAAAATCCCAGTATGGTTTATGAATTTTGTGAGCAGCTGTGTTGCTATAGCTGGCATGTGGGCCACACAGCAAATGAACCAGTTCATTTTAGTATCCATCTCTTATCTGGCCTGCATAGAATTGGAAAAAAAAGCAGTGAAACCAGTGTGAGCTACTCAGGTAAACAACCACATTGGGTTTACTGCTAGGGTCTAGGATCCTACCTGGGATCTACTTAGGGACTGTCTCCTTTAAGCATATGAGATGTGCCACTGTCAGATTTTATGATGGCAGCCTAGTTTAGAAATTGTGGAGTAAAGAAGTTACTTTATGTGACTGGTTTTACAGCTGTTGTTCTAAGGGACCATCCCTAAGCATTCTCTGCCTGAACAGTTCCCTGCTCTCCTTGGCCATGGGGTGGATTGGAAATGGGATTTGCTTCAGTGTGAGCAGACAATCTTGCTGTTCTCTGTTTGCCTTATTTCAGACCAAGGTTGGTGGGACAAACCACACAGGAGGAAGTTTTGAAGAAGTTCTCAGCTCTACAGCCCATGCTAGTGCTCAGAGCTCCCTTGCTGGCACCCGACTCCCTGAAAGTGAAGAAGAGCTTCAGTGTTAAACAGCAGGCCCTCCTGAGCCCCACATGCCTCTCTTCAGAGACTTGTCCAGACAATGATTTTCAGCTCTCCCTCACCACACAGCTTGCGCAACAAGGTTTTGTCAGCTTTGGAAAATTGCCATCCTGGCTTTGTGTTGGTGAAATGTTTCCTCTCCCCTACTTCTATTTTAGATGGGCCATTTTATCATCATCAAAACCGCACATAAGTCATTGGCTATAATGCACTAAATTCTGTGTTAAGTGACTAAATAGTTTTCAGTTACGTGTAACTTCCCTCTAACAATCTCCCAGTCTCTGTTTCTTATTTATTTTGGTTTGCTTTTTTCTATCTGTTGGTTTCTGGCTTCCCTCTCAGTGCCCCATCAGACAGATGGACCTAGAGCTGTGCAGAGCATTCAGTTGCCAGCAGTAGCCCATACACCAGCTGTCTACCATCCATACCAGGTGCCCTTTGCTCAGGAGTGTCTGTACATCATCTATTTCCTAACAGAATTAAAATCACTTACTGTCACAAAAAGCTGTTTCTCCTTCAGTGGTACGGTCTGGCATTGCCTTACACCTGTTAGGCAGCAGAGTTAAGGAGGGCATGAAGAGACACCTGGTTATTCATACATAAACAACCTATCACAGCTGCTGATTTCAGATTGTCATTTTGGCTGGAAAGATTTCAGTTTCAAAATGTGCACCATTGCTTCCTCTCTTTCATTTGGTAAGACCTGGCAGCAAACTTAATTATAAAATCAAGTGGAGTGGCATATTTTTGCTTCCATATCTTCCCCTCAAAACCAAGGGAAAATATATTTATGAGCTTCTGTCAAGATACAGCTTTAAGTGAAAGAATACAAACCCAACATTTGGCTTCAGATGTGCCATAGGTGAGAGAGCCCATGCCTTCAGAGTTGCTAGCGTAGACCCTGTCACCTGACAATGCACAGGATGAGTAAGAACTTCACTTTTGGTGTCAAATTTTGTTGTGCTTCGCTCCAAGATATTAATTCCACCAACCACATTATCTCTGCTCAATCATCAAGAGCCAGACATCTCTCAACTTTGATTCAGCATGTTTTCTGAATTGCATTCTTTTAACATGTTTTCTAAGGAAAGAGCAGCACATTTGTGACACTATCTTGCTGTATAGTGAGCACTTGTCAGTCCGCATGTTGCGTTGCTCAGCTCACCACACACGGGGGCGGGCACGACGTTATGAGTAAACAGGATGGAAAAGAGCCTGGCTACTTTGAGAATGGGTGCATTTTTTGAGCGCACGCCAAAGCTTCAAATCAGTGTGAGTTTGACATTACAGACTGCTTAAAATTTTGTGAGAAAATATGGCTTTAAGTGATTTTTGGTTTTTCTTGTGTGGCTTTTGTTAGTTTTTACAAAGTTGAAAGTCCTTTTGTAATGTTCTACTGGGCATAGGCTAACTTTGGACATTTATATGAAATGCCTCTTTAGTGTGATTTTTAGCATGGAAGCAAATCTAATTGTTTTTCTAGTATTCTTGTGACAATTTTCTTGCTTATTTTATGTGGTTTTGTGCATAAATGTGGATTTATTTAAAATGGAAGATATTAATTGACAACTTAGTTTGTGTAAATGAACTTCTTGATATTCTTATTAAAAATTTTTTTTCTCTTTTACCCTTGGTGATGTTTTAATTCTGTTCACCAGTAGTACTGAGCAACCTAGTGGAAGGTGTCCCCACCACTGGCACAGGACAATCTTTAAAGTCCCTTCCAACTCAAACCACTCTTATGATTACTGTGCATGGGGTTCCATGCTGTCCCCTCAGTCCCCTGCAGAATGTGGAAGCTTCCTATGCTGCATGAATGGACTGTTCCTGCTTTGGACAATATTTGTGCTGTGTTTCTACCAAACATCTCTTCAAGGCCACTTTGCTGGTTTGTCAAGAATGTTCTCAATTCTGCCCTTCCATACATCTGTAGCTTTCACACTCAGCATTCAATGCAAACTAACAGACACTGTGATTTGTGTGCATCTACGTGGAATAAAAATGCTGACAAAAGCTCGGTGGGCCCCACTCCATCACCCTCTACAGTATGGCAATCTGTTGCCAAGAACCACTAATCAGCTCAGCAAAGTGCAACCTGTTTTTCCAGGGTTGCCACAGGGCATGACTGCTGCCCCAAGGGGTTCTTGAGCACAGCAGGCACCTCACAGACCAATACACTCCACATATTTTGAGCACTGTGCCAGCCTTTGAGGCAAGAAGCTCCCAGCATCTCTACACAGCACTCTGCGCTCTAGGAAAGGCACCAGCCACAGAACACTTTGTGAGCTTCAGTCAGGCCCCTGTGGTTTGCGTATAGAAAGCACTTCCTGAGTCACAGTGCCTGAAACTGTGTGCTCAGATACATTACCTACATTTAAAGGATATGATAATTGAATTTAGTTTTATGCTGCTTCATTTGACATGAGGTGGAAGACAGAGAACTCCAAGTCTCTACCATGTAATTTTTACAGGTGCAAATTTTGCTTATTTGGTAATCATGGCACTGGCCTCATTATGGCATTTACCACCACTACAGCTTTACTTCACAATCATTCTGTACTTGTACATTACTGCTCTGCTTCTGCCAGAAACTCATTTGTGGCAGAACTGCTACCAGCATGTGACAGCCTGGAGAAGGAAGCCAGCTCTACATGGATGTACAGGCTTCTGCATTAGATTGCACAAACTGCAAAGGTCCCTCCCAACCTCAGATATTCTGTGATTATTAATTACTTGTGAAGGAGTCTGTACAACTGTCAGTCAGGGGGGTGAGGTGGAGTGAGGAATAGAGACCTTATGGAAATACTGGCACCATTCCCTGATACAACACATGAATAGGGGAAAAGCTGTATGAAACAAAGAAGATACTGAGAGAATATAATTAATGAGATTACTAGTTTTATGCACCATCACTTAAGGCTTATGCACTCCAAAGAAATCTCATCACTAAGCTCAGTCAAGAGCTCCTACAGACACATGCTTAGTGGTCTCATTTCTGTGTAGCACTGAGTGGATATTAACCCATTCTGAAGGTACTTAAATCCATAAATATTTAGAAATTCACAGAACAAGACCACCTACCCCACACAGTTCATTACACAAACAGATAAGATTGCAATCAACTAATTTTTAGACATACACAGACTTCCCCAGTGGAGAATCTATTTGTAACTGAGACTGCATTAATCAGAGGCCGATTAAAAAGAAGCATATACTTATTCTATTCTATACTTATTTATATTCCCAAATATACTAATTCTTTGTTCCCTGACACAACCTCTGATCTGGGTGGCAACTACATTACCTGTTCCTCTCTAAGTGATCCTGGGATTCTCAACAGTGAATGCAAAGGAAAAAAAATCGGCTAGCAGAATCAGTGATGTTAGAGGAGAAAAAATAATGTCCAGAATGTAAACCAAAGTATTTATTATGGCTACAGGATTTCAGAACACTTCAGGAATGTGGATGAGATGCATCAGCTATTCTTTTTTCCCTTTCTGTGTTAATCAGAGATACAAGCTGGAGTATTTCTGGGTGAACAAACTTCCCTGCAAAACAAAAGAAAGGGAAGGTTAATGAAAAATGCTCTCATTTTGCCATGTGTGAAAGCCTGGAATTAGAACAATAGCAGAGATGTCACTTTAGGCTCAGAATAAATGTCGAATTATTCTTTTAAGAAAGTGAATGCTCCTAGTTCAATCCAACTATGGATTAAGTGTAGCTACATCCCTTCTTCACAAAAAGCTTGTATTTTTGTGCTCTATTAATGCACCCTGATACACCAAGATAAGGATACTATGTATCGTACTACAGGAAACCACTCCAGTTACAGGTGCATTTCGGGTATATGCTGCATGTTCTACTCAGGCACCAGCTCAATTTAAGTTATTGAATTCTGGTAGGGGAGCAAAGATGTCAGTTAGAAAATAAAGCATTATAAGCTTTGTTCACATTGTCTTTTTTTTTTCCCTTTGCTAATCAAAGTCTTACAGAGAGATTATTATTTCCCTGGGGAATCACCAATGTATAAATGGGACTTGTCAGGGACTCTATTGGGTGACTGCTGGTCCTCTTATCCCTAGAGTTTGTCGATCCCTACTTTTTTTCCCCAGAACATGATGAGTCAGTTACAGTCTTCCTCTGGTGTTCAACCAGCTTGCCAAAATGATAAAGATTATTATTTTACCTATCTCTGCTTTAAACTACCAGTGTATTTTGCAAAGGATGAAAAGCAGTGGAAAGAATAAAACGTAACACAGTTGCAACTTAATCATTTCACTGAGGTGGTTTTCACAGGAACCTTAGGCTGGTCACTCAGCTCATTTGGGGATAACAAATTCTACTTTACTGGTTCCTGAAACATTGACAGAGTACAAACAAGCTGCTGTCAGAGCATGGGTGAACACTGAAGATTCCTTTATGAAGACTGATGTTTCAGGGAGATCCTTACACACATGCAAGTGTCATGATAGTTGAGCTTCTCTGTAAGGTAAAAAGTGATGTAAAAGGAATTTGGAAAAAATTAAATTCCGGTTTAATACCTACAGGTAAATGTCAGGTATGTTCACAATGAATCAAGGTTCTCCAGAAATATTAGGGGACTTGAGCAATGAGTAAAATAACTAGTTCTCACTTGCTCTGAATGTCTGTCAGGGAAAAAAAAAAAAAAAAAAAGGAATTTATATATTTCATTTATGAAATTAATTTTTCATTTTTGAAAGAGGAAAAAAAAAAGTCCAAATATCATACCAGCAGTTGAATCAAAAAAATCCTGCAGTCTGCCAGGTGTCTTTTCCAATTCTTCATACTCAAATGCTTGCAGTATCATCTCACACTGATCCAACTGCTTTACAAATTTGGCCTCTGCACTAGACTGGTTTTCATATTCCTGAAAAGATTTGCAGTTGTAAGAAAAAAAATTTGTTACTGTAAAACAGAACATTAAAATCTCTTTATATATCTAGAATTTTCTTCATTAGTCACTCCAGAAATATTTAGTACAATTACATCTTTCACTTTGTGGTCAGCAAAACATTTGAAATATGTGCCAATTTTATATTAAATGCACTGGAATGTAAAATACAGTCTTTTGCATAATCTGATTCTAAATATACCAACTGTATTGGCTGAATCAGGGATGATATGGAGGCAACTCTGCATGACATACAAGTTAAACAATAGGTTTGATTTAACTGTATTTTACATAGAAAGATAATTTCAGGCCTGGCTAAGGCTATTAATTACCACAGTGTGTGCTTATGCACTATCACCACCTATTTTTAAGAACTATTTTGCACTTTTCTCATCACTTACTGTTTCTGTATGGAGTTGTTCTTTATATTTCCCCTCTCATTCCTGCCTAATCTTTTTGCTCTAATCTGTCTGAGCTGCTTATGTCCTTATGTCTCTCCTAGGAGATAGGGAGTGGTAAAGGGGTTTCCTCCCCTTCAGAATTTAAGTCCTTTAATCTCTCTGCTATCTTTTCCCTCTCTACAATCATCATCAGTATGTATTTATGAGTGATTTACATTTCTACTCAACTTTTAACAATTTTGCTGTCATTTGCTTCCAGTGATGGCTGCAGACAGGTTTGGCATTGCATTTTCTGTTTTCTAAATCTACTGTGTTGTATGAGATGTCTCATGAGCAGGTCTTCCTGACTCGCCTGACTTCCAAAACCAACCCCCTAAAAAGGGGTTTTCTTCTGTGCAGGTTACCTTGATACCATTGGCAAGTCTGATCCTATTCATCATCCCCACCATCATTAATCACACCAAAGTACACAATGGGACGCATCTAAGCTCCCAGATCCACAGAACCTGTGGATCATAGCACTTCCACAGAGACGAGCAACACAAGTGCAGGAAGAGGTTTGCCTACTGACCACAGAAGCTGATACTCCTTTCTGCATCTTAAGACAACAACTGTGGTATGAGTGTCATTCACAGTGGAAAGACTCCAGCTTTGTAATTCCAGCACAACGATGCTCAGGTAAGTGTGACAGTCACTTCCTTGTCTTACATACCACTAGAAGCCTTTTCTTAGGCTTATTACTTTGCCTATGAAGTCAGAAATCCAGATTTCAATAGCCATGATTGAGAGGTTTACTATTCTATTTCGACTTCAATGGTACTTTAAATTTTCAGTTACATATTCATCATTCTTTTAATAATAAATTTAATTTCAGTGTTTTTATTTTGTTTTTCTCCATTCAACCTAAGCGTTGCCTCATTTTAAAATTGTTTAAGTACTACTTATTTTCTTAAATCTATTTATTTCTGCTCTATTTTTTTATAATCTCTTTTGCGGGGGGAGGGTCCCCCAAGGACAACAAACTGTTGACAGCATTACAAAGGAGAACTTCAAGAAAAGAAGTAGGGCTGTTCACCTGTAAAAGTCAGTCTCACCTCCAGCAATTACGTGGGAGTATCAATCTGTTGCCAACCTCTGTGCTATATACCCAATGTTACTCACACCTCAGCTCACATTGCCCTCAAGAAACATAAGCTATTACATGTGCAACTGTGCACAGTGCTGAAACAAACACTTACTGTTTCCTCCCCACAGGTGGTTAAGACTCTGAAATAACAGTGTACTTTGGCAAAACACTAACTGGTCTCTCCAACACCACAGGTCGTCTTTTAAAAACCATTCCCATGCTTTTCCACTTGAGAATAAAAAAGCAGGACAGAGCTGAAACATGCTGACTCATTTACTTTACTGTTTTCTCAAACACATTTGGGATTAAGTTATAAAGTGAAAATACATCTGAGGCATCTTTCTGCTGCCTCTCCCCTACATGACACTTGCCAAGTACCCACCAACACCATCCAAGGCAGCAGCCCATGTAAAGCTGAAAAGAGAGACAGAGACAAGAGCAGGGCAGAGCAGGAAGGACTTGCTAATAGTGTCAAGAAATCTTGTACTGCTCAGCACTGTTCATCCATAACCACTTTCACTCACAAAAAAAATCACAGGGAAATGTCTCTGGCTAGCTGAGAGCAGAGCAGCACACCAAGTTATCAGAGGCTTCTGATTTTCTTTATCTCTTTTTTCTTCTTTTTAAGGGGTAACTAGTTGTTCCTCTTAAAACAACACTAGAGGGGACTACATGTGAATAGTAGATATTTAGGGTAGCCTCTCTTCCAGATGGATTGCACTCATGCTAATGAACTGCAGACACAGTGCCAATAAATAATCCTGAAGACAGAAACAAAGACCAGATTATCAAAAGTGTGCATATATTAATTATGGTTAATGAGAATGATGAAAAGCTAACATGCTAAAGAACTGACTCCATACTGATTCATCTCTTACAATGTCACTGGAGAAGACTGAGACCAGCAAAGAAAAAAAAATAATTATACAGAACTAACCTTATCTGTCAAAACCTCATTTTCCTCAATTATAACAGTTTCTCAAGGGAGAAGGAACCAATGCTCCCTAAAAAAATACACACATATTATTTCCTATATCTGATGATGTTGGTTTACCCCCTTTACCTTAAAATATAGCTCTGAGAGCCCATTCCCACTGCCTGTTCAACCACACAACTAAAACAGGGCAAAAAAACCCCAAAATAACCCTAAAACAAAACCACAAATAGGGTGTTGTAGCAAAAGACAGAAACTGGATGCAAATATTTGGAATTTAAATATAAGTAGAAAAGAATATGAACGTAAGATACAGATTCAGGTCATAGAGTCCAAGAAACATGGAGTGCTTGGACTAGAGTTTGTGGATACAATTTCCCCCATGTGACCATATGTCAGGAGGAGATAAAGCACAGTAATTATAAACCTGAATTGTTTGGAAATAATCTAATCATCCCTCATTTGCAAGTATAAAAGATCTTATCAATTAACAGTATGGGTTCACATTAAAATGATTAAATCACCTTCAAACACAAAATATACAAACTTTTAAAGAACCCAAGACCAGAAATCTACAGTGTTTGCAGTAAAGTGTGGGGTTTTTTTGTAACATTTAAGTTTAAACATTAGTTTAGTAAATCATTAAGTTACTACTAAATATCTTAGTCTAACGGACTTTATTAGAAAGAAATGAAAGCCACAGAAATTACTTCCATAAAATATAGAAGATAAACCACAGCACCATCACCTTCCATTATTTTTTTTCCTGTATTAAAAGCTGAAAATGGCCAAAAGATATGGATGAAAGTGATAATGTAATAAAAATCAGATTTATATCCAGAGGGCTGGATGTAGAGGACAAACCAAGCTGTACAAACCAAACCCTAGACAGGTTGATCTGGAACTCTGAGAGGCTAGGAGCAGAAAATGGTAATTTTACTGAAGCCCAGGATTTCTGTTTGAAAAGGACCCCAAAATGTCCTTGACTCATACTGTTAAGCTTTATTTTCTAAGCAAATAAATCTAACTTTCTTGAGGTCAAAATAAGAGATGGCACAATTTCACAGGTACATGGGAAGAAGAGAATGGGTCACCCTGAATTTCAACATAGGATTAAAAGAATGCAAACTTACTTCCCAGAGTTCATAGATCTCTCTTCTGAGGTCCTCTGATAGAAGGTGGGTCAGTTGTTGCATAGCTGTCTGAAAAAAAATAAGCTATTTCCATTTATCTATTTTCTGAGCAACATTTTTAGCATTATCTTTTCTGACTAAGTATCTAGTTGTTACCAAGCTAGCAGAAACATCCATTACACAAGATATTACTGTATTGTATTGGCATGAAGGTTTGGCTACAGCTCTGGCCAAGGCCAAGGGGGTAGCACCTCTGGGATAACATATTTAAGGGGAGGGGAAATCCCTGTGCAACTCTACCCAGGATGAGGAGTAAGAAGAGAGAGGAAGAAGGTATATGTAGATACAGGGTTAGTGAAGGAGAAGGAAGAGGTGCTTTAGTGAGGCAGCTGTATCCATGCAGCCCTACAGAGGAGGAGAGGTCCACCTGCAGCCCCTGGAGGTCCATGATGGAGCAGATATCCACCTGGAGCCCATGGAGGATTCAAAGCAGGGAGATACCCAAAGGAGGCTGTGACCTTGTAGGAAGCCTCCACTGGAGCAGGCTCCTGGCAGAACTTGTGACTCCAGAAACGTGTTCTGCATGCTCTTTATGTTCTCCCAGTTATCAGACTCATTTTGTGCTGTCTCTACTGTTTGCCCAGTGACATGAAGGGCTGCTTCTAAAACAACCAACATCACAAGCAAGACAAAGGTTTCATGCCATGATTGTTTCTCCACTTCATATACAGGATATAGTGTCACAATATGGTTCCAAATTGCTTGCCACCACTCAAGCATCAAGGTCTCATTCCTTCTCACCTGTTTACAGCTCTGGAACTCAGATTTCCAGATGGTGGCTAAAATGACTTATCTGTCAAAAATCCCTACTCCAAACAACACCCTCTCTCCTCCAAAAAAAAAACCCCAAAACTTCTTTGTTTAATCACGCTGCCTTAGTGTTGGTGAGACTCACTGGTTAAAGTTACTGCACAAGGAGCCAGCTCAATGTCAGCTGTAAACAGAAAAAAGAGAACTCTGCAGTGGAAGCAGCGTATTGATAACTCACCTCAAGCCACCTCCTGAAGTGGCTACCCATGGTCTATTTTTACAACAAAGTATTTCAGAGTCATCCCAAATGTTTAATGCTTTACTCTCCTTCTCACAAAGTCAACAGAAAGTCCTCACTGACTGAAATGGGAGCAGAAGGAGCTGCAAATACTTAAGAAAACTTCTTAAACATACCTAGGCATCGAAATATCTTTTTCCTTGCCTAAATTCAAATGAGACCAAAGTTGAAGGCTGACTCTCAGTGACACAACAACCTTTAGAGGCTTCCAGTTAAAAAGGTTTCTTCTGTTCAGTGTTTTGAAGCTCTTTGAAGAGTGCAACAAACACTCCAGTGATTCTTCACCACCCATAAAAGGGGCCCCCTTTTATGCTTATCTGGTTAAAACTAGGGGCTGGGGGGCCATTACTAACTCTAGGAGTAAGCTCTTTGCTAAGAAAGTGGAAATTGAAGATCTAAGGTGCATTTGGCATTCTTGAAGTACTATCTTTACTGACTGTAATTTTGGTGTTTCTTTTTTAAATATACTTCCTAGTGTTCTTACATGAATGAAAAAAAGCCTCTGAAGAGTTTCTGAGGCATGACATTGCCCTCTAGCTGTGGCTACAGAAATGGTTTACATTTTCTGCAAATAATGCCACAAACTAACAGTTTGATAAAAGTAGCAGAGAAATGCTACTTGCAAAGAAATGCAAGGCCATAAATAAAGTGACTCTAGTGCATGCTGCACTCAAAGAATCACAACAACAAAAGAGACACCTACATCTGAGGTTCTGTGCAGAAGGTTTAAATGAAATCTCTGTCAACCTGGTGATCTGGCACCACACACACGATCTGACATGAACTGTCATCCATCCTACTCAGTGCACCTACTCCCTGCTCCTCACTTCTCGGTAAGGCTGCTGAACATGACTAATTCAGGCTTGCCAAAACTGCAGCTACGTCAGGAATAAATGTCCAAGGTGAACATTATTTCAAAGGTTCTTCCATAACTTTGTACTTGGTAATGTTACAGGTACAAAAATCCCAATGAGTTGAAAACTATACTTGGTTGTGGCAGGCTTGTCCAATGCCAATGGCAGTATTATATTGCTTGGAATGTTCCTTCACCACCAGAGAACATTAAAACACACAGAATGCTCTGCAGCTGTGGCACCTTATGTTCATACCTCTTCTCTCCTGTGTTTCTCCTCTTTTGGGATATTATCTGCAGGAGCAATATCTCCAACAATGCATTCAGCCATATCATGAACCAAAGCTAATCGTATGCATCTGACAAGAAGGAGGGACAGAACAATTAGTTTTTCATCATTTTAAATTGAAAACTTATACAAAAGGCTAACAGACTGCGGAATTTATCCCCCTTCACATAATCTAAAGGTTGGTTGGAGCCTTTCTTAAACTTTATATAACATTTTTCACTTTTTTGTTAAGGAAGTACTTTCCCCCTAGACATGACTTTGATTTTTGATTTCTAAACCCTACTGCTTGTAAATGTAGATTTAAGTATAAACACACTGTGCACTAGAGTAAAATATTCAAAAGTAATGTACTTAGTTTTTGTATACTTCACATTATTCCTGCAACAGGTGGAAGGTAATCTCATTGGCGCAATCCCAAATTCATCATATAATCTGTCACTCACAGCTCTGCAGCTATGCAGCAGAATAGTCAAAAAGGCCTTCATGTCAGCTCCTAGAGCTTTCTTTGCTACCCTAGAGGACTTCTGTGGCTCCTTGCTGATGCCGAGTTCTCCTTCAGTCTGTCAAAATTGACATGGTCTATGGCTCTGACATGGCTGTCTGTTGCTTGACATTGTTTTTACAAGGGTCTTCATTCTGTTTATTTACTGCTTGAAAGAAGACCAGCTTTGAGCATCTGCACTGAGGACTTGCCTCAACACTCACAGTTAAGCAATAAAGCTTTTAGCCCCTTTCAAATGACCAGGTAAACAGGACCTTCTCCAAATGATGGAGGAAAAAGAAGAGAAGAAAGGATTTCAAATTCCTTCAGTGTGATTTAAAAGCTCTTACTCGGGACGACAACCTTTAGCATTTTGTTTGCAGCTCTCCCACAACATTAACACGTGGTCGTGATAAGCAGAGGCAGTCTCACCTGTCCTTGTTAAGGCTCTTGTCTTCAGTCACCAAAGCCATCATCGCCATCCTGTACATGTGGTCGGAGACGCTCTCCGGCTCTGCCACGTTCCTGTACACCCATCCTGTCCGCGGTACTCTCTGCGCCCGCGCCACAGAACCACCGAATCAGCCAGGCTGCAAGGGGCCGCGGACATCACCGCGGCGGCAGCACAGCGCCAGCCCATGCCACTGGAAAGGCTGATCCCCTCGGCTGGCAGGCCCTCGTTTCAGAGACACCGGCAGCAATTCCGCCCCACCATGGCCCCGCTCTCCGGAGATCTCCGACGCTCGCAGCGAGCGCCGCCCCAAAGCCCAGCCCGGCCCGCAGGGCTGCCCCCGGCCGCAGGCGAAGGCCGGGCCCGGCTGGCAGCCCCGGCCCCGCTGCCGGCCCCGCCGAGAGAACCCGGCCCCGCCGAGGGAGCCCGGCCGCGGCCCGGCCCCTGCCCCCCGCGCCCACCTTGAGCTGCCCGAGCAGCCGCAGGAAGGGCAGCAGCCCGAGCCCGCCGCCCGCCGCCATCGGCCGCGGCTCCGCCTCCTCCGCTCCCGCGTCCGCAGCGGGGCCCGGGCTCAGGCGTGCGGGGAAAGCGTCGGTGGCGGAACCGCGGGCCCAAAGCTCTGGCTCCTCCGGGTTCATGAACAGCAAAAAGGAACGACAGCGGTTGCGACTGCAGCGGGAAGAGCGGCGAAAGAAGCCGGGCTGCTCACGGGCATGAGCGCTGCGGAGCGGGGACGGGAAGGGGGCAGGCGTGTCCTTTCCTCTCTTCCGCTGGGGACCAGCAGGGAGGAGCCAAAGGCAGCCTCGAGGTAGGAATAGCTCGTGCTTCTGTCAAAACTGAGCATCTCGGTGACCTTTACCATGCAAAAAAAACCCCAAAAACAACAACAACAAAAAAAAAAGACAAACAAACAAAAACCAAACAAGCAAGCAAACAAACAAAAACCAACCAACCAAAAAAACACCCTGCAAACTCATTTACTGTTCAGAGAAGAATGAATAGTTATCAGAGTTGCTGACCACTTTTAAATTATTCTGTGGACTCCCGGCATCTTTCTACAAGCACATCGGTCACTTTTATGAGTTGAAAAAATAACACGGTGACTTACCTGACGGTGGATTTTCAAAGTACATTGCATTTCTTTGCTACTTTTATCTTGCCAACTGAAATAGCAGATAATGGTTTCAATGTGGTGATAGTTTCAGGAAAGAACATCTGTAGTTTTGCCAGCTGTCAATAGATGGGAGAGTATTTTACTTTTGTTTGTGCAAATATTTAAACTCTTAAATTAATTATAAAGCCCAGACAACATTTTAGTGACAATTTTAAGGCTGTTTTCCCACAATAAAAAACAATAAGGACCAGGAAAGTCATGACTTTTACATCTGTGTACACAAACATAGATGCATTGGGTGTTGCAGTACAGCTTTCCTGGTTGAAGTGAATCATGCATCTGTTGCAGATTTGTCTTGACAGCTCTTAAAACTGTCCATAATAATAATTTCATACTTTGTGCAGGCTGTCTGCCTTCCATGTGAGTAATTTGTTTCATAATGTCCTCTTTGGACCTCCTTTAGAATGAACACTTGAGCAATAATCATGAGGCTGGACTCACAGGCATTGGCCTTGGTGTAATTTTTTGTAATATTTGTCAGTTTTGTAGCATTTATATGTATATAATTCCTCTGCATGCATTTTGTGTGCTGTTTTTGCATATTGCTTATTGACACTGGTTTTCTACCCAATTGTTCTTCTTTTACAGTACTTAGAGGTACCATTTTATATGCTTTTCCAAGTACCTATCAAATGCATCATGTGTTGTGTTAAATGCATGGACTCTCAGTAGGCTGGAGGACCCAAGCATAGTACAAATATTAGCTCTGCCAGGATTTTACTCCTGTGTAAGTAGCCTGAAAACAGAAACAAATCAGGTCCATGCAATTTTAAGAAGCTTTTTTATGTCATTCAGAAACTTCAGCAAGGATTAGAAAAGTCTCCCTACAGGATATTAAGGTAGTGCTAAGGCTTAAGCCTCAATCTTTCATCAGTCTCAGCTGGCTTTCTTCTCCATCTTTTGCCGGAGCAGATGGCAATTTCAAAAAAGAAATCCCAAATAAGCTGGTTACCACAGAGTAATTATGATTTATAAGCTGGAGATGGCGCTCTCTGCCCACAGACTTCTGCTTCAACCACATTTGCTGCTACCCAATGCCAGACTGAAATTGTGCTTCCATTTCTTTAAGAAATAGCGCTGGGTGAGAGGAGTTGCTGTGCACACTTGGTGCAGTAATGTGAAAATCACCTCCCTAAATGCCAGGTGGCTGGGAGCAGACCCGGTAATTACTCCTAAGGTGGATCATAATCAGTTTGTGGTTTATATAACATAGCACCAATGAGAACACACTGGATTCTGAAAACCCTTACGTGTTCTGCCATCATGGGCACAGTAAACCTTGTCTTGGCAAATATCTTCAGGAAACGTAATTAATTGATGGGAATCATTCATTACCCTCTGACAGGAAAAGAAAAAAAAATAAAATAAAATGTTGTGTGGTTCAGAGGACAGAGAAAAATGGTTGTGTATCACAGACCCATCAGGAAGAAATAGCAGCCTTGATGCCCTTCCCAATAACAAAACGATTGATGAGCACCTGCCAGCCACTATAAATGGTCATTTTAGCTCTCCGGACTGTGATATCTTCCTTTGTCTGAGGCAATCTTAGCAAGTATAAAGAGCTAACTAGTGAAAATCTGTTGCAAGAATTCTTCAGTAAGGGTACAGAAGTGCAAACCTCTAGGGTGAGAGTACGTGTGTGCCATGTGGCTCCCTTCACTCTGCCATGCACCTCACAATGCTGGACTGTGTGTCTTATCCCCAGGACCCTCACTCTCCCCTGTGTGGGCTGTCAAAGCTGGTGAGAGGCACCTGGGAGAGGTACAGTGCACTGATATCTGTGCCAAGGGCTGGACATATCCTGCTGAGACTTCATAGAATCACAGAATGGTTTGGGTTGGAAAAGGCCTTAAAGATCATCTAGTTCCACCCCACTGCCACAGGTGGGGACTCAGGACTCATTCCATTTTAGCAGTTTTCTCAAAGCCCCATCCAACCCGGCCTGGAACACTTGCAGGGATGGGACATCCCCAGCTTTTCTGGGCAACCTGTTCCAGTGTCTCACCACACTCACAGGAGAGCATTTCTTCCTAATAGCTAATTTAAACATAGTCTCTTTCAGTTTCAAGCCTTTCCATCTTGCCCCTTCACTACGTGTCCTTGTAGAACATCCCTCTCCGTATCAGAAGACTCAGGAGAATGTATACTTATGGTGGCATTCCAGAAGTCAGCAATAACTGTCCAGTGTAGCTAACCAGTGGCATCACTACCCGAAAGAAAAATGTTCTTGCTGCTGTTGCATAACATCATGAGCTTTCTGTGATTCACAAGAGATTTTCTATCAGAACCTGTAGGATTAGCTTATCTAAACCTTCAAAATGAAGAAAAAGTTGTTTTATCTTATATATGTAATGGATCTGCAGGGCTAAGAGTAGAACTTTAGACTAGCACATTTTGGGGGGAAAAAGGTAAATTTAAGAGCAAATCAATCTTACTTGAGCAGAACATTTCTAATGTAAAAAGGCAGCTGAATTAGAGGATTAGGTCACACTGCCTGATTAACATCATTTGATCTTTTGCTATTGAAAAGCCACTGGTCTTCTCAGAGAATGGAAGCATTCAAACTTTAAATGACACCACAAGCCTGGCTTAGAAAAAAACCTGCTAAACTGAAAACAACTTGTCTTGCTTCAGTAATTGTTGGTTTGTCTCTGCTGTAGGGGGATGCATCCAAATCAGGATTTAGAAATCCCTCACATTTTGCTATAACAAAGAAGGACTGGAAAACTGAATGAGGCCATCTTGGGCATTATGTGGGAGAGGCTCACAGCATGTGAATCTTGCCTTGCTTTGCCATATCATATTTATTTCTTGTTTAAAGGTGGGAGACAGATACTCAAATATCTGTTTGATGTTTATTTTCTTTATTATGCCTTTCCTGTTGGTTTTGACCTTTTTAATTGTGCTAGGGTAGCAGGTAAAAAAAAAAAAAAAAAAAAAAAAAAAAAAAAAAAAAAAAAAAAAAAAAAAAAAAAAGCTAGCTCACTTTGGCCCACAGAGACCACTCAGAATCTGAGAGGTACCTGCTGATGACATTTAATAAGAGAAGTAAGCGAGCAAGAGAGGGAGTTCTGGTTACAATTTTTATTGTTTTTAAAACAGAATTTCTTTTAACTAAGGAACATGTTTAAACAAAGAAGCTTTCCTTAAAATTATACCTCTTTCTTGTAACAGGTCACCCTTGGTCTTCTAAATTTCTCTGAGGTAAGGCAAGAATGAGGGAACCATTCTACGGTATAATTAAACCTTTTGCCACTGGAAACACCAAGAACAAGAATAAATCCCATGTTAAAAAAATCCTCTGTCTACTTCTTGTATCTTTTCTGTTAAAAAGCTTATACTGTTTTCACTTAATTGTACTTAAATGAGTTTTGAAGGAATTTTAACAATCCCCTGCCACTGTCAGCACTTAGTAAACAGCAAGCAGACAGAAATCAAAGAATTTATTTCCTATCTCTAATGATCTGATGATCAGTTTGCTCAAAGGATTTTTCTGTGCTTTTTGTAAAGTACTAACCAGGATTCACAAGCAGTGTATTTTTATTATCTTAAAAAATGCTCATTTAATAATCATCATATTACTTTCCATCCTAATGTTATTTCAGTTCCTAGAGATGGAGAAAAGCAGTATTTTAAGATACAGAAAAACTGTGAATATTCTTGTTATTCCCCCAGTCATGCTTTTAAGCATTGCACATTCATATAATGAGCACACAGATCCTGCTCAGACTCTTGCTTTTCAGCCATCTCCCAAATGTCAGCCAAGTCAGACCCTGCTGAGCTTCCAAAATCAGATGTGATCAGACATGTAACAATGTAAAGAAAAATAAACCCTGAAAGGCACTCTGAATTATAATGTACATTTTTTTTCCCCTGACATGCAAGAAAGAACAAAATGGAAGTTTTATCACAAGTCTGCTTCCTTTTGGGTGCCCCCACCCTCCCTTATTACTGTGAGCAATGTTTTCTCAAAATAAAGGCACACTGATTTGTTTGTTATTTTAGGCTCTGAGAAGCAGGTCAGACTGGAACCCTGTCCAAATCTATGCCTCTAGTCCCATTAAGGACCTATGAATGTACTTATCTCCATCCGCTGCACACCAGTGCATTGTCTCCCAGAGAGAGCTCCTGACACTGCCCAGCTCTGTCCATCACTTTATGGCTGTGCGTGCTTTTGCAGCCTGGCACAACCTGAAGGCGCTGTGCTCCTGTTGGTTCTCACACTGGGAGAGATGCCCGTAATCAGCTGCTTTAGCTTCCTGTCCCCTTCTTACACTGCTCAGCTATTATTCTGACCACTGCTGACAGGGCTTCGGAGCCTCCCTTCCCCTCTGTCACTCTGCCTGGCAGCCGCAGCTGAGCAGCCTGATTTGTGCCCTGCACAAAGAGTTGGGGTTAGAATTAAGGGTTAGGGTTATGGTTTAGGGTTAGGGTTAGGGTTAGGGTTTGGATTAGAGTCAGGGTTAAGGTTAGGGTTGGGGTTTAGGTTTAGTGTTAGGGTTCGGGTTTGGGTTAAGGGGAGCAGGGGAAAAGCCCGGAGGTCACAGAGCTTCACTGCATGAGCTTCAAGGAGTCTTCTAAGG